CCCCTGGTACCAGTCTCTCTCTCTCTCTCTCTCTCTCTCTCTCTGTCTGACATTCACTGACAGCGGACAACGACAGGTACAGGAATCTGCAGTGGTTCGGATTTAATGCTCTAAAAAGCACCGGGTCCCTCTGCTACCTACTTACCTTCAATCACAGCTAACATCACAGGACAGTGGAAAGGGCAAGAGAGAAAGACTGTTTTTGCTCAAATCTCAGATCGATGGGACTGAAGTGGATAAAAGATGCCGTAACACACACATCCACACGCACATCCACAGGAAACACAAGGATGCCAGGCATGACGGCACACTCTGGACCAGATGTAGCTCTCAGGACCGCTATGTGTCCTCTTACTTACTCACTAGTAAAGAGCTTTAGGCTCTAGATTTAAATAAATAATAAAAACAAGGCCAGGTTTCAGCTTCAGGTTCCATTAACAGGTTCCATGGTGAAATAAATGGTCCTTATGATTTGTTCAGATAAAAGGAGAATATTGAAGACTGGAAAAACATCACCTGGCCTTTTCCCGATCTTCAACTGTCCAGTTTGGGTGAGCCATTGCCCACAGTAGCATTAGATTCCTGTTCTTGGCTGACATTTGTGGAATCTGATGTGGTCTTCTTCTCTTGCAGCACATCTGTCTCAAGGATCGGCATGTTGTGCTTTCTGAGACGCTTTTCTGCTCACCATGGTTGTAAAGATTGGTTATGTGAAATACCATAGGCTTCCTGTCATCTCAAAACAGTCTGGCCATTCCTCTGTGACCTCTTTCATCAACAAGGTGTTTCCAGCCACAGAAATGCCATTCGCTGGATATTTTTTTACATTATTTTTACATCATTCAGTGTAAACTCCTGAGACTGTTGTGGGCATATGTACAGAATTTTGTATTGTCATGTAGATCTAAATAAAATTAAATTTGTAGTGGTTTTTGCAAAAGATTTACCTGTTCACTTTACAATAAATTTAAGTACAATGTAAATGTCAATTCTAACGTCATTTACATTGAACCTGACGTCCTACGCAACTTGAGCCCATTAGGAACAATTATGCAAAAGACCTTGCATGCTATACATGATCCCAGTGCCTTAAGTTCACTGGGAAAGTTTCCTGTATTCAGAAATGGTTTACGCAACTTATGTTGATGTTCTGAGTGGTCCAAGCAGTTTATAAAAACGACCTGTGTGTAGTTCATGACTAAGAGTTTGCCAGATGTCAAACAGGGTTTTTCAATAGCATCTAAACAACTGTCTTTAAAAACAAGCATTTAACACTTGGTCATGTAATCTTGGTCATGTAAATGATCTGAGTTGCTGGAGTCATGGAAATATTAAGATGCCACCCGAGTCCTTGGCATCACCGGCTCCAGAAACCAATTTTATCCGCAGTGATCTGGATCTTTTGCAATGGAAAAGGCTGGTATGGTTTGAGATTAGGCCTCTGCTCCAGAATCAGTACCGGAAAACACTATCTGGCTCACACTCTTCCAGTCATTACCACAGTGCCTTAACTGCTGAGCTTCCACCGCAATTAAAAGCAGACAAAATATCTGCAATTTGTTCTTCATATTCGCCTCACAAGCAAGTTGTCCTTAATGTTGTGACTAACTTAATGCGTGTAATCCGCAGGCGACATGCTAAACATTTGAAAGGTATTATTCTGCATTTGCTCCTAAAGTTTTACTCCTTGTTTTCACGGTTCTGACTTACTCTGGAATAGTGAGGTGGAGGCCCATGGGCAAAGCCGGGGATTTAACATTCGCTAATCTGCAGCTGAAACAAAGTGGAGCAGGAGAAGAAGTGGGGCGCAGAGAATGAGAGATGGGGACAGGGAAGAAGAGACACAGTGGGAGGAAGGCAGAGAAACGGAATGAGGCACTTCCGTTAAAGTCCTCAGGCATTCATATGTTAATGTCGCCTGCTTCCTATGCTTACTGTCAACAGGATCTTGCTAAGGCATATAGCCTCCAGCGGCGCCTGCGGAGCCTGGCGGCAAACGAACAGCATACACACTAAATCCAACTTGTCTGTACAAACACGCACACATACATCAACCTGCCTCTCCAAATGCACACAGGCCTTCATGACCTTCTCACTACGTGCACACACCTTCCTCTATGCCACGTTTTAGTTACTGATTAAGCCCCATGAGCTTTATGCTAAAATCTAAAAACATCCTGGCTTCCACGTCTCCTTTCACCTGCTTTTGTCGGAGAGACAAACCCCACATGTGTCTGTGTTCCACACTCTGTACATCAGAGCGCTAATGAGGATGACTGTAACAGAACCTGAAGATTAATTTGTAGAGCGAAGGCAAAATGTTTTTCCGGCAAACCAACAAAGCTGAAAAGTTGGCGCTATGAACAGGAGCTGGAGGTGCTGAGACAATTAAGGCTCGAACTAAATAAAGGCATGACATGCCGCGTGTGGAAGACAAAGTCTCATACTTGTAAAGAAAGATGAAAGATCGTCTTTGGTGTCATTTGTGCTTTCTGTACGCATGTGTCTAAAACAAAAAAAAAAAGATTTTATTTGTATATCCAAGCTTTGGTTCAGTACACAAGGTCAGCCATGGTGCAGTGTCCCTGGAGTACTTAATGATGGTTACAGATCTGGCTCACGGGCTCGCCAGTGGGTGCTTGGAAGCCGCATTCAAACATTCAGCCCGCAAAACATTTGGCTAGAAGCAATTCTTATTAAAACTAACCTTGTTTCACAACTAAGGTAGGTCTATCTCTTCATAGCGTTCCTATTGTCATGGTCATCATGTCATTCTTCGAGTAAACACAACTAGGCACTGATTAAACTGTGAAAATGAATAAAAGTGGAGTCACAGAAAATCTTTAAGAAGGGAACAAATGGTCTTATGACATTAGAATGGCAAGATGTATGAGTGCTACAGAACCTTTTACTACGGTATATAGTATATTAAGTAAGCAATGGCATATGAAAATAATCCCCGGCCCTGTAGCTGTTATTTTCATATAACAGCACAGTCTGTTATGTGTTATTTCACCACTACCATTATACCACAACGATTTGCCAATGCATCACACTTTTTAACTGTTTATAGTTACATTTAATGTTGTGGAACGACTGCGAGACAAGTTAGTTCCTGTTATTGCTTACATTATAGCAGCTATAAACAGTCTTTCCCTTACCAGCCTCTCCTATTATTCTCTCTCTTGAAGCAAATGAGACAAAAATATGTAGCTTATCATCCGTCACTGAAAACATTCCTGAAGTTACACCTTTACTTCTGACTGTTACAAAGGGCTGACACTGGAGACTCCTTCCAAAGATGCTACATTAACATCTCCTCACAGAGAATGTCACCATATCAACAATTACACAAGGTTTCGAAATATATTTTTGGTAGCAGGCAACTTTTTGTGGATGTGACCTTCTGAATTGAGCCAAGGCACAGAGCTGTAGCACTGCAGAAATGCCATGTGCTCTGGATATTTGGACCATCAAACAAACAAACAAAAAACAATAAAATAATTGCTGGATGCATTACACAAATTCTTTTAAACAAGTTATTTATAAATGTCTGTATTTAGGTATATTCTCCATCCTTAGCTAATTTGTGATTTCTAGGTGCATTCGGCGAAGATTTGTTTAATTTTTCCATCTCCATATTTCAAACTGATGAATAAAAGAGTTTTAGGAGTGTGTTTCAGCTCTACATGACCAGAGGCCTGGTTAAAGCGCAATATGAAACTAAGCCAAACCAAAAAGCAAACAAACCAAAAGCATTACTCAGCCTAGTAATACAGACTAATAGCTGTGAAAGCACCACATGGCATGGCCATGGCCACAGTACAGTATGACTAAAAAATCAGTGTATGGAACATATAAACTGCAGTTCATGGTAGTAAAATCATGCTATTATCATTATTCCCATTTTGATAACCATAGTTACTATAAAGTGCCATAGTAAAGCCCCTAGTATATCAGAGCAAACACGGAGTAAGCTGCAGTCAGTTTTACGGGCACCACTGAGCCACTGAGCCGCCACAATAACTTTGTAGTAAAAGAAAGTTTGGGTTATTTTATCTGCATCTGTCTCTGTCTCAAGACACCAGCGAGAGTTCGATCTGGCATCGAGTTCAGCTGAGTCCCTTAAACACATGTAGCTGGCGCAAACACATTATCTGACACTCTCAGAAACAAAGCGGAGCATCGTAATTCCAGGTCGAACACAAAAGTAAACAACTTCATCTAGTGTTGTGCGTATGCAACAGTGTGATAATGCTGATGTAGGAGGGAGCTGGGCAAAGAGAATAATTAACAAAGAGCAGAAACAGAGAGAGAAAGAGAGAAATGGGTGGAGAGTGAGAGAGATGTGTGACACTTGTCCTCCTCTCCCTTCAAACAAACATTTCTGTTGGGACAGAGCTTTGTCTGGGCACCAGCGAGCACTGAATGCCTTATTTACAGTTTTTAATTGCTCTGTTGATCAGTGGCCATGAAATAAATAAACCGGGTAATAATCGGGCCCCACAATAGATTCGTTAGTCTCACTGACAAGCGGAATAAAATACCGAACAGCACACTGGGAAATCTGACAGTAGCTTATGAAAAAGACGAGACAGGGAGATTTAGGCGAAAAAAAAGCTCCAGATGCAAATTACAGTGTGTTGTTTCATTTGGCTCCTCAGGAGGGGAAATCATGCTGTGGGTTCTTGAGGGAATCTGCCCGACTGAACGGTGTGTGCCTTCAGTGAGACAGGCATTCGGGCCTGCTAGACCACTGTTACGAAGGGGAAAAAAAAAAATGGGTGAAAAATGATCAAATATAACACACACCTACAAAAATGGTCAAAAATGAAACTCCGTCCTATCGAGGCTCTATACCACACACACTCACACACCCCTTCACACACTAAGGACAATTTGGAAATGCCAGTCAGGCTACAATGCATGTCTTTGGACTGGGGAGGAAACCAGAGTACCGGGAAGAAACCCGTGAAGCACAGGGAGAACATGTAAACTCAGGGCGGAGGCGGGATTCGAACCCTCAACTCCGGAGGTGCGAGGTGACAGTGCAAGGCACTAAACCACCGATCCCCCCCGCCCCCAAATAAAATACATATTTAAGCAGAATAAACATGCATTATATAATATGCAAGTCCACTTTAATGCAACTTGCTGACAAAGCTTTACCAGTACGTCTTAATTCAAATATTAGTTAATGTTACAGTGGATTAATGCTGCAGTTAAGGACTGTTCATGATAACCTACGTGTTAAGTAAGGAACAATACATGGTTAGAAAGCATATGTTAAAACTTTTTCTCCGTGTTTTTCCGTTTCTAATGGCTATACTGCACTTCTATTGGTTTTTACTCTTTTTCCAGCGTCACACACAGTCACTGACCTACTGCCGTAATCACACGTTCGTTCCATGAACTACTTTCATTCTGTTACACACATCTCTACAACATCCGCACAAGACCATTACACAGTAACTCACACACTTACATATGTAAATCTATTCCAGATCAAAGGCAATACTCACTTAAACAGGTCAGACCTTATAGCGTTAGTGTGTTTTACGAAAAACGCTACAGCAGCCACAAGCTCCGGGGGATGAAAACGTCCTGATGAAAAATTAAAAACTCAATCAGGTGGCAATTATTCCCTTTAATCTCTCAAAGGCAGCCAATAGGGGAAAAGGCCTCGGGTGGGCAGAGGCTGGCGGGGATTCTGCTATTTAGCTGAGCCAAAAAAAAAAGAAACACTCCATCTTCATCTACATTATGCTCTATAACTCAGGGAAAGTGCACTGCAAATGGGAAGTAGTTGAACTAGTGAATCTCAAGTGAGACAGAGGAATGACAGGAAAGGCCATCATTCATACAAACAAAGAAAAAAAAATAGAAAGATGCATTCCACAAGCTTGTGTATTTGATATTTTTTCTCTTTCAATGCATCCTGCACAATGCACCGTTACAGATTATTAACAAAACTCCAGCAAATTAAAAATCTGAAGAATTTCCCAAAACTGGGGCATGAGTTGCTTTTGAATTCGAATGTGCTCCAATCTGGGCCTCATTTAAATCTTCAAAAATCAAAGCCTTGTAAAAAAAAAGAAAAAAAGAAAAATAAATAAAAGAAAAAAAAGAAAGAAGACAGAAATCAATATATAATACAGAAACAAAGAAAAGAAGATAAACATCACAAAATAATACATCAGGAGAACATTCACAGTTATAGACAGCTCCTTTTAGGAGTAAATATTTAAAATTGCCCATTGTAATAAAGAGAATCCAGTTTTGAGCTCTGTCTTGAGTTTATATTCCAGGTATGTTCCATATTTATCTTTATTCATAGTAAACTAAAGACCTTAAAGAACCTCAAAACTGCCCTAGAACACAAAACACTGAGAAAGTCCAATACACAAAACCCTTTCTCTCTCTCTCTCTCTCTCACACACACACACACACACACACACACACACACACACACACACACACACACGTTAAGTCTACAGACAGATCAATCGAGTCTCAGGAGTATTCACTGAGAACGATCCAGGCCTGCTCTTCATTAAACACTTCTTCAAATACTAATGACATCAGCAATCACTCCATTACACACTCATTAGATGCTACACATGGGTTAAATACTGCTAAACACTCACACACGTTAACTCAAGCCGCATAACTCACAAATGTCAAACCCTGCAAAATGTTTACTCCAGTACACACATGGGTTAAAAACAGGGGTTAAACATGGTGTTTGGAATAGTGAGAGGTGTTCAGAATGGTGGAATGGTGCTCGGAATGGTGCTCAGACTGGTGCTGGGAATGGTGGAAGAGTGGTCGAAATAATGTTCACAATGGTGTTCAGAATAGCATTCGGAATAGTGGAATGGTCTTCGGAATGGTGTCCAGAATAGTGTTCGGAATAGTGGAATGGTCTTCGGAATGGTGTTCAGAACAGTGGAATGGTGTTCAGAATGGTGGAATGGTGTTTGGAATAGTATTTGGAATGGTGTTCGGAATGGTGGAATGGTATTCAGAATAGTGTTTGAAATTGTGTCCAGAATGGTGTCCGGAATAGTGGAATGGATTTCGCAATGGTGTTTAGAATGGTGGAATGGTAATTAGAATGGTAGAATGGTGTTCGGAATGATGGAATGGTGGAAAGGTGTTCGGAATGGCGGACTTGTTTTCAGAATGGTGTTCAGGGTGGTGAATGGTGTTCAGAATGATGGATGTGTTTATTTGGATTAATTATGGAAAGGTGTTCGAAATGGTGGAATGGTGTTCAGAATGGTATCTGTAATGAGGGAATGGTGTTCAGAATGGTGGAATCGTGTTTGGAATGGTGTTCAGAATGGTGTTCGGAATGGTGGA